GAGGCCAATTTTGCTATTTTACCCCTAAAAAACCACAAAAATGCGATTATTTTTCGAGGAGCTCCGACAACCTATTTCGAAATTGCCCAAAAACCCATCAGGGAGTACCCCACTACAATCTCCAACTTGAATTTTTGATGTACAACAAAGTCGCATTTAAAGTGAGTTCAGGGGCACCGTGAACGGGATCGAAAGGCGTCGGGATCGGATCCGTCTGGGTCGCCACGCTTTTGCGGCTGGCGAAGGGCGGCAGCGGCAATGCCCTGATGGTGGGGTGGATTCTTCTTTGGATCCATGGGGCTAACTCCGAGAACTTGGTGTCGGGTGTTGGCAGGCTGAGGTGGGAAGACGTTTATAACAAGACAAATCGGGATTTACAAAGGTAGTACAAGATTAGGTTCGGTGCAATTCGATAAATGCTTTTCGACAACATTCCGCCTTTTACTGGTCGCGCGTTTTGCAACTGGACTTTTAGGAGTTTCCGTTGATGTTGCAGTGGCTTCGTCACTCGGTAGAGTTGTCGTTAAAGGATTTCTTAGCGATCCGTTGGAAGCTGCATTCCCACGAGCGGTGGGTTCTGGGCGTCGAATCTGCGATAAAACAGTAGACTGGCGCCTTTGCTTCCTCGCGGCCATTTACATTCTGAAATTTCACAGTCATCGGCTAGAACCACTCTCGTTCCAAACTGCACAACAGCTGTGTGATGGCATTCTACGACACCTTTACCGCTATGAAATACGGCTGCGTCGAGACAGTAACGATGCTCATCGACTTTAATGTTTGTGCCTTGAAGAGCAGTCATTTGAAACTTGTCATTTTAACCCGTCGCTCCCCATCGACACTGGGGTTCCACAGTAAAACTACCACAGCAAACAATTCGCTTTGTTTAGAAGGCACTCGGCTGCCTCTGTTTTTTCGTGGAATTGCGGACACACAAAATGTATCGGTTCTGACCCAGAGGAACGCCTTTGCCAAAACTCGGAAACCTTCTTATGTTCTGTTGGTATCTGCACCATGTGACGCTCATCTGAAATTTCAATCACAGCCTTACAAGAAGTACATTTTCTCTGTGGTACTTCAGTGAACGCTGTCATTTGTTTCAGGACGTCACTCTGGTTGACGAGGCAAAGGTAGAAAAAGATAGGCTCTTGCATCTTTGGCTCCGCAAAGTCATCGCCGGTAGCTTCACGCACATTGAACGCAGATAACGACTTCCCGCTTCGAGGCTATACGTACTCCTCAGCGAGTTGTTTCAAAGTAGAATCTTCGTCCGAGTGTCTCAATGCGTTCCATAGGAGCTCATGACTGAGTAGGCGTTGCAATGTGGCGTTGGCGTAGCAGGCTACATTGTCCTTATAGGAGGAAGTAACGATGACACCATCATCTTTTTAGGTGGGGGGGTGTTCGTCTACGGCATTCCCTGTTTCGAGGCGAGGTGCCCATGCGTCATCTTCGATACATTGTTTTCTCTGTCCGTTCACTTTCCGTTGCTTTGCCATTGACTTCAAGTGAGGAACCATCGTCCGCAGTCTTTGATATTCACGTAAGGCGGAAGTCAGAGCTGAAACCTGTGCAGGATTGAAGTTAAGAACTGTCAGACCGGCCAGTGTTTTGACCCGAGACAATGCGACGTAAATTTGACCTTTGGAAAACGTTTGGTCTCCGACGTCTACGAAAGCACAGTCGAGGCTCAATCCTTGACTTTTATGAATTGTTATGCCGTAAGCTAAGGACACCGGAAACTGTTCTCGATGGACGAAAACCCCCGGTATGATTTCAAACTTAGCCACAACTGGATACAGCAAGAGTTTCCGGCCGTTTTGCATCTCCAATTTTAACTGTTTTGGAGTTCTATTTTTGCTTATCACCTTTGTGATGGTTCCAACAGCTCCGTTCATGTACCCTAGAGTAACGTCTATATTTCTCAGGAGCATGACTCTCGCTCCCTGTTTGACCCTAATAGTTTTGTCTAAACCAGCCGTTCTGGAACAGTCTCCTTCTAGTTTTTCCAGGGCTTTCTGTCTATCAGAAACTACAAAAACCCTCAAAAACATTTTTCGGGCAAAAAATCCGGTCGAGGAAATTGACGTGTCACTTCCTTTTAATTAAGTATAAGATAGGCAAAAACATTTGATGAATTCCCAAAGTCAACTAAGACTAATCTATCAAAAATTTCCAGAAACTTACTCGAAAGGAAAAAAATAAATTGAAAAATAAATCCCTTGCCAAAAACAAACAAAAAACCGATTTTGAGATAAATCCCTCGAATGAACTTGAAATCACAAAATCGGCCGAGGATGTCAACTGAAATTTTTCCCCCTTCAATTATGAGCTCCGCAACAAGCGTGACTCGCTTGAACCTTTTCATACACGAGCCGCACGAATTCAGCTCTTCTTCTCTCCTCTCCTTCCGTCCATGGACAGAGGTCCAAAATTTTTCGGATTTACTGACGCGACCGGCTGCGGCTCGATGCTCTCAGTGAATCGGTGCCTTTTTATCCCTGATGTCGGCTTCAAGTCGGTTGCAGTTTCACCAGTCGACCCATTTTTCAACAATCACATGTTAGACTTTTTCGAAACATGATTAATCTGAAACATGGATTTTTCTTAAGGGAGCTTACCATTCGCTTTGGATGGTAGGTAGGTTGTAAGTAATAATTTTCTTTATTTTCTTATACTCTATCAGTTCTAGGATACATTTGTACCATTTGATGACATTTCAACGGACACGTTGGGTCCGGAGAAGTGAGGGGATTTCTGAATCGCCAAATTATTAGTAGAATAGTTATAGTGGAGAGGAGTTGAGTCCCCCCACGGAATGAATCCCACTTAAGTCGACAGGTTGTACGTGTTTCCCTCTAACTTTTGTGTCATCTTAGTAATCCACCCATGTTTACGCATCGAGCCGCAGCCGGTCGCGTCAGTAAATCCGAAAAATTTTGGACTTCTGTCCATGGACGGAAGGAGAGGAGAGAAGAAGAGCTGAATTCGTGCGGCTCGTGTATGAAAAGGTTCAAGCTAGTCACGCTTGTTGCGGAGCTCACAATTGAAGGGGGAAAAATTTCAGTTGACATCCTCGACCGATTTTGTGATTTCAAGTTCATTCGAGGGATTTATCTCAAAATCGGTTTTTTGTTTGTTTTTGGCAAGGGATTTATTTTTCATTTTATTTTTTTCCTTTCGAGTAAGTTTCTGGAAATTTTTGATAGATTAGTCTTAGTTGACTTTGGGAATTCATCAAATGTTTTTGCCTATCTTATACTTAATTAAAAGGAAGTGACACGTCAATTTCCTCGACCGGATTTTTTGCCCGAAAAATGTTTTTGAGGGTTTTTGTAGTTTATATCAGGTCTTTTTTGGGTGGATAAAGGTCTGGCTATACGAGGAGCCAGCAAAACCGAAGTATTCGGTGAAATAGACCATTTTTTACCTGCAGATTTATTGAATTTCTTAAAGCGACCTCCTCATCTCCCCATATTGTCGCTCCTATCCTCGCCGATCAATTTTAGACAAAGTGATTTATTCAGATGATTTCCTTTGTCCGTTTTTTTTATTAGTGGTAGGTACAATGTTTTTTCTTGTAACCTTTGCCATGAGACCTCGTAAAAAAGGAGCTTCATTGAAAGATGTCTAGCAAAAGTAACAAGTTCTCGTCTTGCAGCTACTTTCCAGACTTTTTACTTTCTCGCTCCCATAGGGTAGAGAGGAAGTATTGTCATCCTCCAAGAAAAAAAAGAAAAAAAAGTTGAAATTTCATCATTTCTAGACGTTTTAAGGTCCCAGGAGTAAAAATAACCATACTTGAAAAAATGTGTGTCCGTCCGTGTGGCGTCCCCCAAATCTGTCTACAGCGATATCTCAGAATCTATCTGTTCGATTTCATTCAAAATTGGCACAGGACACCATATCTATGGTCTCTTTATGCACGTCCAACGATTTTGAGGTACGCTAAAATTTGGGGGGGCTACGCTCAATTGTCCATTTTTAGCAAAATCACACGGAAAGCTCATTTTGAAAGACTGTAAATTTTGAAAAATGTCTTTAATTCTTTAACAATGGGCATCAAGCACATCACCTGGGTCATTAATTAAAGTTCCAAAAAGATCTTTGGACTAAACTCAAAATTCAAGAGATTACGAGGCCCAAAAGTAGGGCACTTTGCTCCGCGAAACAGCTCATTTTCAAGGACTGTAAATTTTAAAAAATAAAAAAAAATGCCTTCAATTCTTCGAAAGTTGGCATAAGAGCACCACCTGGTTCATTAATTTAAGTTCCTACGAGGTCTTTGGACTAAACTAATAATTGAAGGGTTACGCGTCATTTAGTGAGGGCACTGCAAAATCACACAGAATATATGGACTAAAATTTTGAAAAATGCCATTAATTCTGTGAAATTTGGCATCAAACGCAATTGAATCATTGATTTGAGTTCCTGAAAGATAGGACTAAACTCAAAATACGAGGAGTGCAGACCATCTCAATGGGGTATCGAGATCACTCATCGGTGGGAAGCTCCGCAGTCTGGGCGTAACATTCTAACAAATGGATTAAATGTATTAAAATTGGAGATAAAAAAGTTAGCAACTGCTACATACCAAAAAGAATCCTCGCACAACTATCCTACTCAGCTTAAACTGTGAGCGAACGGATGAAATGATGATAACATGAGACCAGGTAAAGGGTTGAGGAACAGAAAGTAAAACACTATACCCGATTATATTCACGATACTACGATGCAAATCGCTTATTATTGTTTTAATACTACTATAATGCATTGTTACCCAGCGAATGATGAAATCAAATGTCAAAATTAAGAACTAATAACACAAAAAGTAAAAAACTGAAAACTTTGCCAACTTTTGTGATAGCGGTCCTATCACGCGTATTGCAAAGCATACGGCAGTCCCATCGGAGAGACTTTTTGAGCGGTTGTGTTTGCGGGAAAATATTTCTAATTTTTCCCTCTTCATCGACATTCATAGAAGGGAAGGTCGTGATTTTTTACCTCGCGATTCCTCCTTATGCCTACGCGCTTTCGTAGAGGGCTTTTCATTTGAGTCCTTTTGATTCTCAATTTGATTGTATGCAGTATCAACGAAAAATGGATCCGTCGCCGATGAGTGTTTTCTAACACCTAACAAAGCTTCACCTCTCTGACCCAACTCGAAAGGCGCACTTTAATATAATATTCAAAAGGAGTGCCGATTGTCATACGTCCGAACGCAATCGGACAATATTTCCCAAACACGATTCGCCCTACCACTTGGTGCTGGGCTCTTTTTGCTCCTGAACATATGATTTGATCTTCTCCTCGGGTATCCTTTTAGAGGACCTTATGCACTTCAGTCTTTCCTTTCCTCATCAACCCATTTCGAGCTTTAATATGCTTTAATTTCTCGGCCTGGAGTAGGCTTCGAATTTCCTGTTCTAGAACTTCCAAAGTAGGTCTAAGTTTCTTGAAGATGTCCTTAAGGTCTTCCTCATGTGCCACCTTTTTACTTTTGTCATTGAGCAATTCCTCCGGTCGCGGCCTTTTGTTGGTTGGCGTCGACTGAGGTGTCACCACCTCGAATGGATTCGTCGCGCTGGTCCCGCCGGTGGGGGTCGCCATCCCCGAGATGCTGCGACTCAGTTGTCTCCTGGCCGATGAGAGAAATACCCGTTGTCCACTCCTTTGGGGATCCCTCCACATGCCATGTGGAAATAACAACTAGTCACTTCAACAGTATTCAAAAAGAAGACTTTGATTTAGAAAGTATGTAGAGATAATAATGTATGCTTTGGAGATACATTCAAATTTTGAACATTTTAACAAGTTGCTCAGTTTTGAAGAATATTGAAAATGAAATATAATTTATGCGTAAAATACGTTTAAAATTTTTGAATTATTAAGTCGTTATTTTCATAGCCTTTCTACAGACCAAGATCATTAAGTTTCCCTTTAGTAGGTAACATTTTTTAACATCAGTGAGTGAAGTAACATCTTCACTCTGTCCCTCATTTGAAAATACATCCCTCCTTCCTGCCGCGAAGATGATAATGTCCCCCTTTTTCACCATCCCTCTCCTCTTTAGCCAGTATCTCCCCCAATCCTGCATTTTAGCCTCCTCTTTGCATTCCATCACAACATTCATTCCATATCTGTATACCTCACCGTGCAATTTTTCCCCCACTTTTTTAGTAAACTCATCCGCCATTACCCAAATCGTTTTTTTTCCTTTCTTTCTGTTCGCTTTTTCATCTTTGCTGTTATCTACTCCTTTTTCTTTTTTTTTTAGCTTGTTCGAAGACTTTTCGCTTCCACTCGCTCACTTCTGTATGCACGTTATTCAATTCTACTCTAAGTTTTTTATTCTCTGCTTTCATATCTTCATTGATTAAAACAAGCTCCCCTATCATTATATTCGTTTCGTTGGAACATTTGCTACAAAACCACATTATATTCGCTTCATATTTATTCAGCACATCAAGTTCCACCTCCGACATTCCTATACACCTGATATGTTGGTATCCCTCCTGACACTCTAACCCTTCACATCTGATCACTTTTTCGCATTCCAATATTTTACATTCATAGACCCCACACTTACCCATAACTGTATGCATCATTTCCATTCTTTCCACACTCCCCCTGAGCAGCATCTCTTCATCCACACTGACCTCATCATCCAATTTACAATCTATCAAAGTTTTGTCTAACAAGTCAATTTCCATTTCAAAATCCCTATTAGCAGAGTCGTTGTTAGCGGCCGATTGATCCCCCATTTCTCTTCGGCTACTGCTTTTTTCATCCCCAAATACCTTTTTTACCATACCCTCCTTTTCCATTACCTTCTCTTGTCTGATCACTTCACTACCCATTTTTAACTTCAGTTTCTTTACTCTTATGTTCCCTTTTAACTCTTCTCCCAATCTGTCCACACTCTTACTCCGCTGTGGTAGATTGACCATTAGAGTACCTGATTCAGTCTCCACTTCACTACCACACCACACTATCAGACCATACTTTTTTCTTTTGCATTTCTCTGTAACTTCTTCCCCAATTTCCTGTATCCCCCAATACTTTGCTTTCCCCTTCACCTCTTTCCCCCATTGATATTTTACTGGCCATGCTTTAGCCTCCCTTTTAGGCCTAACACTTCTGTTCCAGAACTGCTAGATTCCCATACACTCACTCATACAATTCCCCTACAACTTGCTAAAACAAGAAGAGCATTATCAATTTTCAATACACAATTCACAATTCCACCACTTCACAAACTCAAAAATTCACAAGTTAAAAAACTCGCGACTGCACTCCCAACCTCCAAAACCGTGTTCCCTTGTCGGCAAGCTGAACTGAACTGTCGGCAAGCTGAACTGAACTGTGGCATGATGTGGCATCACACATCTCAACATAAAGACCGTGATGTCTGGTTATCTGAGAGCGAACTAACTTTTCAGAACTGGTGATCCAAGAATAGTGGAACTTTTCTTCCATTTCGTAAGAAATTAAGAGGAAATTCGTATGGTCTACAACTGGAAGGTCTTCTTTGGAATATTTATAAGCGAAACCTTTCTGACAAATATAAATTTAACCGTGATGACTAGTTATTTGAGGGCAGACTAACTTTTCAGAATTGGTGATCCAACAATAGTGGAACTTTTCTTCCATTTCGTCAGAAATGGGCCTGTTGCAAACTTTTGCTAGAGCAAAAATAAGAGTTGTTTCTTCTAGATAATGCCTCAAAAATCACGATGAGCGCATCGGCAAAGTCTGAAATGCACTCATAACTTCACAGTCTGCGTAAGAAATTTGCGGTTTTTTGAGCTTCCCGCTTCAAAAGCGATACTACGGCACAGGTGAACATTTTGTAAAAGGAGTCGTTCCATCGTCGGCAATACTCATCATGGCCGACGCCAATCCGCCAAAACACGTGTGATGGGACGAGATAATACCTGAACTGGATTAGACCAGATAACAATCGGCGTGTTTTAACGTTCATGTTTTCCACGCCCGAATTGATTGACCTTGAACTCTCCTCGAATTACGCGCGGAACTGCGCGCAAGCTTCGGCCATGATGAATATCGCCGACGATGGAGCGACTCCTCTAACAAAATGTTCACTTGTGCCGTAGTATCGTTTTTGAAGCGGGAAGCTTAAAAAAACGCAAATTTCTTACGCAGATTGTGAAGTTATGAGTGCATTTCAGACTTTGCCGATGCGCTCATCGTGATTTTTGAGGCATTATCTATAAGAAACAACTCTTATTTTTGCTCCAGCAAAAGTTTGCAACAGGCCCATTAAGAGCAAATTTATATGGCTTACGAGTCGATTTTTGCGACCAAGAATTTTTCTTGGAGGTGAGAAAAAACGCTGGAATCACCATCACTTATACATTTCGTGTGGTGCAGCCCATGAACCCTTTCTCTTTCTACGAAAGATTGGACAATCATGTCATGCTCCATTCCTGCGGATGAGCCCTCCCAGTTCTTGTAGCATGTGTGTTTTGGCCAGGCTCATTTGTTGCGTCAAGCTACTGCACAGATGCAGCTGTATTTGTTTCTGACATTGAGGGACAGGAGCCTCCCAGTCGCCTTCCCAACAAAAACCGCACGGCCAGATTTTGCCGTATACTTGTGTCCATGACTTCGATGGGTCCATCCTGCGTCCATACAGACAGTTATAAATGGAACGCCATTAGAATCTTCATCGCTTCGTACAACAGTAAGGTCCTTCTCCGCTTCTCCGGCTCTTTTCATATCGTCATACAGTTTTTCAATCAAGCTCTGGAAAAAAGAAACCCAACACATTTATCCGTATCTTCTGAAGTCTCACAAAATTGATATTTTTCTTCAATTCCTTCTATTACTGAGGAACAACGATCTAAGTTACCTACAATAATATTTTCACTTTTATTTTCGAGAATTATCTTCAAAATAGCTAACTAGAAAAGTTCACATAGTGTTCCTCTTAGATTGTGATCGTCGTTGAGTTTTCGATTGTTTGATTTGGAAAGAAGAGAGGAAAAAGAAAGGGGGAAGGTGGCCGAACTGACTGAAGGTTTATGATGGTTAATGCACTTGACTTTTATTATTTGCCGCTCGTAACTCAAGACTTTCTCTTGGAGCTGGGAGACAACGCTGGAATCACCATCACCTATAAATTTCTTGTGGCGCAGCCCATGAATCTTTTCGCTTTCTATGAATGATTGGACAATCATGTCAGACTCCATTCGTGAGGATGAACCTTCCCAATTCTCATAGCATGTATGTTCTGGCCAGGCTCATTTGCTGCACTTAGCTACCGCACAGATGTAACAGTATGGACAGGAGCTTTCCAGTCGCCTTCCCAACAGCAACCGCACTCGGTTAAGCGCTTTTTCACGTTTTTAAGCAGATGATTAAAGCATTCGACTTTTATTATTTGCCGTCCGTAACTCAAGACTTTCTCTAGGAGGTGGGAAAAAACGCTGGAATCACCAATACCTATGCATTTCTTGTGGCGCAGCCCATGAACCCTTTCCCTTTCTACGAATGATCGGACAATCATGTCATGGTCCATTCCTGAGGATGAGCCTTCGCAGTACTTAAAGCATATGTGTTCTGGCCAGGCTCGTTTGCTGCACTTATTGCCGGATCAAAATTATTGATTCGAAAGGCCAAACTCAGGGAATCAAAAACCCGTCCTCTGTAGATAACAATTGGTGCCTGCAGTTGATCCGAAATACGGGAATGTAACAAATGATGAATTTGCAGGATGTCTAATCTAGTGCTTTGCGGTGGAAGTGGTAAATTCACGCATACATTAGTTCATAATTAGAAATTATCTCTCTGATTCCTCTATTTTTCGTATTGCCATTTTTATAATGTCAGTCACTTTCTTCTTTATTTTTATGATTTTCGTTCAAACAATCAAAATAAAATATAACTTGCACCTCTGGACATTCAAATTTTACTCTACAATAGGCATACGTTTACAATGGAATAATAAGTGGATATTTTATTACACATCCTTCGGTGCAAAAAAAAAAAAAAAAAAAAAAAAAANTTTTTTTTTTTTTTTTTTTTTTTTTTTTTTTTTTTTTTGCTCCGTTAACTGAAAATAAACATTCCTGAGGACTAGGAAAAAATACTCATGCGTTTAAATAATCCCTCCATCGATATATCATTAAACTCGATAGAATACAGTTCATCCTACAGAATTGTATTGAAACTCTGTGAATCGTAAAGAGGAACAATCGAGTAGTTATCATAAAATGCATCGTCTTTGGAACGCTGCGTGATCATAGCCGCAATTTCTGCCAGAGACGGGGCCGCTGCTTGATCACTTTCCTCATCGTCAGAATTGCTTGGTGCAGAGCGACGATCGTCCGGCAGAGCCCCGATATCACTCAGCTAATCTGAGAGGTCAAGATATTTTCCTGGACGCTCGGCACGCTGGCTGTCACGTCATAAGTTCCTTTAATTAAAGTCAACGCACTCCCTTACGGTTGTTTCATCTGTCTTCTTAACTAGAGTACCTATATTAAGAGAGTATGGCCACTGGGTCCCATGGAGAGGCTTAGGACCCAAAAATGGCGGTGCTTTGTTCTGGTTTTTGAGGATGGGAGGGGGGTCATTGCCAACTTTTGACGGTTATCACCAACCGCACTTGCTGCCAACCTTACTACATCTAAGATCATTTTTCTCAAAAATTGCACACGATTAGCCTTAAAAATATGTAAAAAAGTCGCAATAGTGCATTTGGGTAAAGTTCTCGTTACGATAAGCAAAGACACCCTTGTAGCAACGGATCGTGAAAAACTTGTAAAAAAAAATTGAAAACATTGTGAAATGAAGATGCGCGACATATACAGAACTCGTAAAGAACTCGTAAAAAAAAGTTCCCAGTTGACGAATTGGGAATCATTTCACGCGTTTTTTACGTAAAAAGCTTATGAAAAATAAGTGAGAAACTCATGTTAGATATTAGTGCTGCCACTGAAAATTATTTTTTACGGGTTACTTATCCAAAAGTTTTTTACGTAAAAAACTCGTGAAATGATTCCAAATTCGTCAACGATATTTTTTGGCGAGTTTTTTACGAGTTCTTTATGTGTTGAGCCCGTATCAGACAATCAAAGTAGACCTCTCAAAGTGGCGTCACGTGACCCCCGCAGATCATATGCCTGACAAAATTATCTTTGAGGGATCTCGATCTGAGTGTCACATGATCCCACGTGCCACTTTGAGAGCTCTGATTGTATGATACGGGCTTTGCGCATCTTCACTTCACAAGGTTTTGAATACAAATCTACTTGTAAAATAGAGGTTTCTTTACATAGGAGCTTACAAAAGAAAATTTGTTTTCGTTTCAATTTTAAACACGGAAACTTGTGAAATAAGCCCCGATTTCTTATCGGCGCTTATTTTCCAACAGGTTTTCTTTCTTCCTTCAATATTCTATTATTTTTGTTTCATTACTAATTGAATACATAAAAACGTGTCTTCTATAAGAACGGTTGAAATGAATGCAAAGGAATACAATAATATGACATAAACTGACAAAAATAACTATATTGAAATAAGAACATGAACATATTAAACAAACAAAGAAACAAAAAAGAAAAGAAATTTGAAAATGAAAATTTTCAAATTTTTTTTTTTTTTAATTCTTTTTTTTTTGAAATGAATTTTTGAAATTTGAGAATTTGTTTTGCAAACAAATGGACAGTCAGATTTACATAAAGGATGGAGTGTGAACTCTACTCTTCTTTTAAAGTATGATTCTGATATATTTGACATAGTGATGGAAAAAAGAATTGAATGAGAGAATAAAGTATTCATCAAAAAGCTCATATTGATTATAGTTGCTTCATTTAATCTTGCCCTTATTTTAATTTTAATAAGAAAACATCTTTCGCAGCCTCTATATTGTTAGAATGTGATTTGCTAACGTTTATTTACAAACGAAAAATAAAGTAACGAGAATGAACTAGACAGAATGAGCTAGAAAAAATGAGGCAGGAACAATTAAACATAAAAAATAACAAATGACATAAAGAAAACAAAAATTGAAAAACACATATGATGTCATTTGGAAGGGGCCACTTCTTGACCCTCTTTAGAATAAAGTATTGATCACCAAGAAATATAGTAACAGGATAAAAATAATTCTTGACATAACAAAGAAAAAATCAATTGATTAAAGAAGGCAGGAAACAAACAAATGAACTAGATAATAAACCTAATAACTAGAAAAAATTAAGAACCAAAATACTGTCTACTTGCCCAACATGAGACACTTTTTACACTTAACAGTCTGCCATTTTTAGAGTAATGCACCAATAATTATGAAAGTTGGTGAAAAGTTGTCTAATAGGTTGAACTTAAAAAAGGACATGTCCAAAAAAATTTTGGACCCCCCAAATTTTTTTTTTTAAAAAAAAAGTAGGTGTCTCATGTTACCTCCATTTATCCCTAACATGAGACACTAGGTTAGATTCTTTGTTCTGTCTTATGTTAAGTAGTCTGTAGGTAACATGAGACAAAAATTTACATTTTTAAAAAAGAGGAAGAAAAAAATTTACAAAAAAATTGCTTTTAGAGCATTTAATACTAAATTTTTGAAAACAAAAATAATTGAAATCGTACTTAAAACGAATGAACAAATTGAAAATAGCCTAAGTCTTTGAGATCCTAGTTTAATGTCTTCATTAAGTCAGTCTAAAGATTATAGTAATAAGTAAGTAAGTACTTACTTACTTTTAAGTAGGAAAAAAAGGCACGATTTAAAATTGCCTTGGTAAAAAGAGTTACATAAACTAATAGCTACCCACTTAATAAGTGGGAAAAATGGCTTAAAAACTTGCCTTGGTAAAAAGAAGTTACCTAAACTAATAAGGTACTTACTGAAGTACTAAGTAATTAAGTAGAAAAACTGGCTTAAAAAAATTGAATTGGTAAAAAAGAGTTACCTAAACTAATGAGGCACTTACTTTTATAATAAGTAGAAAAAAATGGCTTAAGAAATTGCCTTGGTCAAAATATTTGACTTATTTACTTACACACTAAAGAGGTGAACAAATTGTCTTGGTAAAAAAATAAAATGTTAAGTACAGTTTAAGTACTTACTTAAAAAAGGAAACAATCAGCTTTAAGCCGAAGTATCATCACTGTTCAAAGGGATTATCAGAAAAAGTGAACCGATCCCTAGAGACGGAAATTGGCTCAATAATTTAATAATTTAATAAAAATTCAATAATTCAATAATTTAATAATTTAATATTCTGATAATTTCTGACAGTTTGACATCAGTGATGTCATCGATGTCTGGGAATACAAATACATTATTTTTCCCCTTATAGCTGCGCAAAAATTTACACTCAAAGCTAGATTTTTTTGCATCTATGACTTTGCATACGAATTGTTTCATACACTTAGCCTTTGAACCTTTGTTGTACATTAACTGCACAGATAGAAAATCCCCAGCTACTGGGAACCTTGCGGGTGGAGGAGATGCTACCTGTGGCAACTGCTCTTCATCAGTGATGTTTGGAATATCCAACGAGTCTGATCTTGTCACGCTGCTTGGGTTGCCAGAGTCAGTCGGTGCATCAACGTCGGACTCCGAATCTCCTAGCATGGAACTTTGTTTCTGGTTGTTTTTCTTGGGTGCGCGTTTGATCACCTTGGTTTTCTTCGCTAATTTCAGTTCTTCAGCTGCTGCTCTTTTTTTCTCTGCTGCCGCTTTTCTCTTCTCTTTTGCAGCTTCTTTTTTCTTCTCAGCTTCTTTTATTTTTTCTTCTTCAGCAGCTGCTTCTAATTTTTTAAGTTCTTCCAAAGTGTAGCCTCTACCTGCAGCGATTTGGACTTTTTTTCTCGGTGCTGATTTAGGTTGAGTTTCAGTAGATCGGTGCTCCTTGAGGAACCCTTTTAAGGCGGAATACCATTCTTCACCATGATCATCATCATCGACAGTAAAATCTGGAAGTAGTTTTAGTACTTCGGTCCGGTTTAATGGCCAAATCCCACACTTTTCAAAACCAGCAATCATATTAGCCTCAGAATTAGTCAATTCTTGAATAGTTTTCTTTAACAATCCTGGAAAATTAATTTTTGTAATGTTTCCCCTGAATTTGCTCTTATATTCAGTTAAGACAGCCCTCCATTTCTTCTTAAGAGGAGCGAAATACGCAACGTCAAGGGGTTGACAAATATGTGTGGCATTGGGTGGAAGGAGCGTAAAACGAATTTCATTTTTCTCAGCCAGTCTTATGACGTTGTGGGAAATATGGCTTGCTAGGTTGTCTCCGATAATTACTTTCTGTCCTGGACCTAAAGATTTGCAGTAAGGGATTGCAACTTTTTGGAACCAATCTTCAAATATGGGGGCCTCGAACCATCCAGACTGAGAGCGGTTGTAAATGGTCCCTGGCGGACCACCCTCCATCCATAATGAGTACAAGTTTTCAGCTTTGTAGACAACATAGATGGGTAATGTTTTTCCTGACGCAGTGCCAGCAAACATTACTGAAACACAACTTTTCGTTGTGTCCATGACACGCTCAGCAAATTTAGTTGTTCTACGAACAATAACTTTAGCTCGTCCAGGGTCATCCCTGAAGTTTGTTTCGTCATAGTTAATTATATTATCAGCAGGAACTCCCTCCATAGTTTTCTCCAGCTCATCAAAGTATTCATTGATGCTTAGAGGCGTAAGCTCAGCACGTGCTCTCTTTAAATTCTGCGCTAGGCGTGTGCCCAGAAATTCGCTGTGTCGTGAAACAAAAGCCTGACCCCATTTGAAACCGGGCATATTATTTTTGAATCGGGGTTCATTGACACCTCTTGCATCTAAAAACCTCTTGACTAAACACGTGATATCGTGCATTTTTAAAGGGAAACCCCAGACAGCAGCTACCGTTATGGATCTCCTCAAAGCTTCTTCCTGTTTAAGAGTTGAGACACGTGGTCGACCAACCTTACCGTTTTTCACCTTCTTCACATGACGAGCAACTGTAGCGTGGCAAAGATTCCATTTTCTTGCAGCTTCACGAACTGATGAGCCTTTCCGAACTGCCCTTACAGCACTTCTCATAATATCATCACTGTAATCCTTATATTTACGGCTGCCGGCCAATCGACGCAACCTTTTTTCTTGCCTGCCCCTTGGTGATAGATGTGAGCGTTTACCGTTAGATTGTCTTGGATTGTGATTTGTAGGCTGCTTTTGTTGATAACGTGCCATATTGGAAGTCTAAGAAGTAAACAAGCAAAATGAGGGATCAAAAAACATGAAATACTCTTATCAGTGCAACCTAACCGAACCTTTACCTTTCCCTCCGCGGGCCAGCGCACTGCTCACTGAGCTCCTATAGCCAATATCTTTGTCTCAAAGCTCCCACAAGGCTGTCTCGTCACTAACCATCATCTTACATTGAAAGGTTAGTTACTATTATGGCAAGGCAAGTAAATTGAAAGGTGCTTGTTTGTAAAGGAAAAGTGTCTCATCTTGTCTCATGTTCGGCCAACAATTATAATTTTTTGATTTTTTGACAAAATTTTGAGTAGCGGTCAAAAAAAAAAAAAAAATTGCATACAGCCCCATCAACGGGAAGGTATTTGTGAGGTTCAGACACATTTTGAATCTGCATACGGCTGAGGACAATTAAATTACTACCAACACTATTTCGAGCACCAATACTTCTCTCAAAATACTCTTTTCAAAAAAAAATTTATTCCAAAACTTACCTTCGAGTTTAAGACTCGCCTTCTGCAGCACGGCTTCTTCAGATGTTACCCTTTGAGGTTAGCACGCCACTTTTGTTTACAAATCACTCAACAGGGCTACCACGGATGAAAAAAAAAAAAAATCCCGACATGTCTCATGTTAGGATGCTGTCTCAAGTTGGGCAAGTAGACAGTACTTGGACAGAGAGATCGCCTTACAAGGGGAACATACGGACCTACCGCCTCCGATTGGGCTGAATTTTTTTCACAGACTCTATGGATCAATTCTAGAGGTCAATTTGAGCCGTTTTCCCGAATGCGCAATAGGAAGGGCGTAAAAAATTCCTAAAAGTTGCGTTTTCGGCGTATGATTTGGTCGTGCGGCGCGTGGCAACACTGAAGCAGTCTCTTCTACCGCTTTAGCGGCCTGAATGTTTCAGCGGAGTTCGGAGCCCTACTGCACAGGTGCTGGCTCCATGATTGTGAGGTCCCCGGTTCCATCCCCAGGTTAGTTGTTTAGTTTTTATTTTCCGCATGATCACGCAAAATTTTATTTTTAATTCTTCATCCGCATTTATAAATCAAGCAGTTCCGATCACTATCCCCCCCTTATTTTACGTTTATTTTCCCCCGATATTTATTCACATTGACCACCAATAATCGTATGAAACTTCATTGACATAAATTAATGGATTAAAAAGCAAAGGGCCAAAATAATGTGTTTCTTGGCGGCACTTGCATGCACATGGGTTTGCTCTTCGATTTACTTACACATTAAATATTTTTCCAGGAAAATATTGGGAGATAATGGAGTAACAAATAAGGTTTTCTTTTGCTTTTTAATTCATTAATTTATGTCAATGAAGTTTCATACCGTTATTGGCTATTGGCGTCAATGTGAGTAAATAGGAGGGGGGGGGATGTACGTAAAGTAAGGGGGGGATAGTGATCGGAACTGCTAGATTTATAAATGCTGATGAAGAATTAAAAATAAAATGTTACGTGATCATGCGGAAAATAAATTAGTAAACAACTAACCCGGGGATGGAACCCGGGACCTCACAATCATGGAGCCAGCACCTGTGCAGTAGGGCTCCGAACTCCACTGAAACCTTCAGGCCGCTAAAGCGGTAGAAGAGACTGCTTCAGTGTTGCCACCCGCCGCACGACCAAATCACACGCCGAAAACACAACTTTTGGGAATTTTTTACGCCCTTCCTATTGCGCATTCAGGAAAACGGCTCAAATTGACCTCTAGAATTGGTCCATAGAATCTGTAAAAAAAATCCAGCCCAATCGGAGGCGGCAGGTCCGTAAGTTCCCCTTGTTAGTTGAAAATCTCAGAGATCAATCAACTTCATTATCACAAATAGTTTTTAAACTAAGAAAAAAAAGTGTATGAATATCAAAAAATAAAAAAATAACTTGATTCAAGTACCTTAGGTCCATGAATCACAAAGTCAAAATATAAATACTATAATATCCACTGTCTCAACAAAACTGAGTTCTTGTTAGTAACTTTAGGGATTTTCCAAAACAGGCTGCTCTGTCAAAGTAGGTTCCGAATCAACTATGCTTCGGGTTTCTGATGTTGACCCGCTTTTGGAACGGGATCTGCTATGTCTCCCTGATTTCTTCTTTGAAGGATATTTCTTACCCTTATTGCTATGATGTCTTCTTTTTCGGCTTGATGGTAAAGTAGAGGAAGAAGAGCTAGACGATTCACGAGAGAATGCAGTTGACGGGGAGCCCGAGCTGCTCGAGCGGGCCCTTCTTGATTTAGATTTCCTGAAATGAAAATAATATCATATTTTTAGGAAGGAAAGTATAAAATGAAACCAATTTTAATGAGGGGAAATTAAGAAAAAATGGAGAATATTGTGTTTCTATTGCTGGTTAAATTTAAATAAATTATTGAAGGGAAAAGGGTAAGTGTTTAGCAGATCCTTTTAGATCTTACTGGTTTCCACAGTTCTTAAGAAATTAGGAAACTTATTGTCCAACAACCTTTGAACATGAGAAAAAAAAAGAGAAAAATTAATTTATGAAGAAATTTACCGGGACGATTTCTTCGATTTCTTCTCATCTTTCCTCGAAATCTGCGAGAAGGACTGACTGACAGATGTGGACACACTGGAGCACATTTTCTTCTGATTTGAAGCTCCAAACCAATCAGCACTGGCCATTGTTCTACCCTCGGTCAGTCTGTAGATGTTTAACAGGCAGGCGAAATTTGACGTGGATGGACTTTTTAAATCTTCCGACTCATGATCTGATACTGATAGTTTCTCTGTAATTTTCAAAATAAAAGAGAAAATTTAATTAATAATAAATAACAAGATACAAGTTTACTCTCTAATATTGATGAGAAGATAGCATCTTCGTCTTCATCTTCTTTTTCACGAACTTTCACTGAAATCGATGTTCCAGAGGGAAAAGAGAATTATACAGGGCGGCCGCAATATTGGATTTTGATATGTTGAAAATCTGACTAAAAATTTATTATTCCTGTTAAAAAATACATGCTGATACGGAATTTCACAAAAATCAATCTAAGAAAAGCCAAAGCAGCATATTAAGCGACAGCTGCCATCTTGAATTTAAACGTTTTGGCAATCTCTCCAAAAATTCAACTTCTCTGTCAAAAGATACACTTGGAGACGCTATTGTTTACTTGGCAAAAATTGTCTACTTGGTAAAGAGCTTCGGAAGTCTGCAACTTTTTCAAACTACTGTTGCACTGAAATGACGCGTTTCTGGATAATTTTGTGGAGTGTTTCCAGGCCCTGATTTTTGGCTGTCTTTCACGTGGTGTACCGGTTTTTCCGAACATCATATACCAAGAAAGCTATTGCAATTTCATTGATTTGAATGGATTCAAGAGAGAAAATGTAATTGATGGTCGGTGCGGTGTGTGACTGGCGCTAAGCGATTGTGCTGAGAAGATGGCGGCCTTTATTTAGCTCCGCGGATACTCAGAAAACGTTTAACAACACTTCCGCTGAGCTCAGCCACTCAGCGGATAACTTAGCGGTTGCACTTCTGACTTTAACAACGTGTCTTGTAAGAGGAACAATGTATGCACAAGAAGTTTTCCAGTATCAACAGATACCAAAGCAGATTAGCAGAAATGGAAGTTCCTTTTTGCTCTCTGCGTTACATGTTAGGTTAACAACAATTACTGTGAGAGACGGAAATGTTGATTGATTAAAGTGAAATGATAGATGATCCAGATTGCAGGACTTGAGGTCTGATCACTACTACTACAGAAAATCAGAACGGCTCTGATAGACAGAATCACAAAGTAAAGCAGACAGAGCCCCAGATCTAAAAAAAAACAAGAGACTTTATGTTTCCACTGCATGGACTAACAGATGGTAACAGTTTCCTCGATATACATCCTAAGATAGTGAACGCTTTATTAGGAAGTTAGTGCTCTCGATGGAATGGTCTCCAGAGCCGGTCATGAGCAATCGGAGCCATCATGCAGCCGATTCTTGAAGTGCTGAAAACTGACAGTCTCTACAATTGGGACATTTAGTACACTAATAGCTAATTGAGGATCGGCGAATGAGGCAACAAGTGTCTCTTCTGATGCTCTTTGCTCTAATCAACAACTGAATCATTGCCCTCCACAAGTGCCTCACGAGGACAAGTGAGGGACATTTGTGACTAGAATGGATCAAAATACTTACATTTAACAGCAAAGAAGATCAGGTTCTGCATTTTCACGACGCCCGAAAAAGTGAAAAACCACAGACCACATAACAAGCGAAATAACCAGAGAAAACATCCATACCTCGAAAAAACGACGCTAACTAGCTTGCAGGTTTCAACATGTTCCGACCGGAGACAATGGTTTAAGCGCGAAACTGCCGCGTTACAGAGAAAAGTTTTAAGTGTATTTTAAGATGAGCCTCAAGACACATCAAAATATACGTTAATCACGGCTCATACAGATATGCTTTTACTACTCTCTTCAATTCTTCATTTCGCGGCGCGGCAGCAACAAGTCTGGTCCTCTGCCGTTTCCTTTCGTTCCGCGTTGCCGAGTTCCGTCTCGTACCTGGTTCTGAATCTGATTCCGACATGGACACGGAACGCGGGATCGGAATTATTATTATTATTTACATTCCAGTAATTCCAGTCCAGTTTCGTAGTTGCCAATACCATAGAATAAGGCTACGCCTAATAGCTTTATTATTCTATGCCAATACCTCTAAACTCTTACTCTAAACCAAGTGTCTTGAAGTTTAAGTAATTACCATTATGATGTACTGTATAATCAGCATGTACTGTATCTGATGTGCTGTATCAGCTTCAGTGAACCTCGTTGTATGGCGGGGAGTCAAGTGTATAAGTGTGAAGCATTTGGAAAAGCCATCGAAACAGCGTTACAGTAAGTTCTCTGAGTCCCAGTTTCAAAATTCAAATTTACTTTCGACTTCCAAATGCTGTTCATGACAAAACCCATGATTTCACTAAAGCACTCACTGTATCCACCTAAGTATCACAGTGTCCTGAGTTTCCAAGCCCCTCACTAACTACCGTTTTGCGACTACCAATCGATTGAATTGAGGTCTAGAGGAGATGTTATTGCATTACATTGCATTCAATCCATATGTATGTAAATGCCTATTGGTATGAAGTATTATAATTGAGATATTGCATGTGTGAGGAATTTGCGATTTGACTGTTGATTCTTTTGTATAAGTTCGCGAGAAACATGATAGTGCCACTGGTTTTCTCTGAAATCAACTCCCAAGCTCAAAAAAAGCTCTCAAGTTGAGGTTAAAATGGAAGGGATATCCCACCCTACCCCGAGAGTTCACGTCTACATGAAGATGAACTCTCCATGCAAAGGGTCAGCTGGGGTAATTCCGGACGATTTTGACGGTTGTAACCTAATTTTTACTTTGACCCTTGGTTTGGACCAGTTAAACTGAATGAATTCAACATTTTTTTGGATCTGCCAGCTCCTTATATTGTTGAAAGCTAGTTAATATAGTATTTGTCGAAAAAAAGTTTTTCAAAAATTTTTGGTGAATTTTTTTGTAGCGTCCGGAATTACCCCGTTGCAAACGGAATTACCCCACCGACGGTGGGGTAATTCCGGAGGCGTATCTAAGTCCACGGCTATGTCTCTTTAATGAAATTATGCACACATACATATTGGATGTTCTTTAAGTAGACTGCAAAGTATTAGCGCTGAATCTCTCTTTCCGGAATTACCCCAAC